ATATATAATAATAATAATAATAATAATAATAATAATAATAATAATAATAATAATAATAATAATAATAATAATAATAATAATAATAATAATAATAATAATAATAATAATAATAATAATAATAATAATAATAATAATAATAATAATAATAATAATAATAATAATAATAATAATAATAATAATAATAATAATAATAATAATAATAAAGGTAAACATAATTTTTTTTTTAAACGGATTTAATTCTTTAAATGCATTTATTTTTATTTTATTTTATCCGCCATTTTTATTCTTCTCTTTTTATTTTTTTTTCTTTCTTTCTTTTTCATTTCCTTCCTCCATTAATCTTTTTCCCCCCCCCCACCTTTTTTTCCTTTTTTTTTTTGGCAAATGGAAAATACCTTTTTCGACCATTCTTCCTCTCCCTCCCTCCCTCTCTCTCTCTCTCTTTCTGTCTTTCTATCGGTGGAAAAAAAATTTATTATCATTATTATTGTTTTTTTTTTTTTCTAATTTTTTTAGGAAACGTATTCGTAATAGCAGCTATACTACTCGAAAAAAATTTACAAAGCGTTGCCAATTATTTAATATTATCATTAGCAGTGGCGGATTTATTGGTTGCTTGCCTGGTTATGCCACTGGGTGCCGTTTACGAAGTATCTAAACAGTGGACGTTAGGACCTGAATTATGCGACATGTGGACATCGAGCGATGTTTTATGTTGTACGGCTTCCATATTGCATTTAGTAGCCATTGCTTTGGACAGGTAAGAAAAAAAAAACGTGTAATTTAAAATTTAAATTAAATTACTATCTCTCTCTCTCTATCTATCTATCTATACATCTATCTCTCTGTGAAATTTTATTTAGTTTTTTTTTTTTATTCTAAGAAAAATTTTATTGCTTAACAAAAAAAAAAAAAAAAAATTTAAAAGGTTTTCTCTTGTTCATTCTATTTAAAACCTTTTAAATTTTTTTCCCCCTTCATCTTTTCCTTCTTCTTCTTCCTTTTATTTTATTGTTTGCTTTTTCTTCCTTTCTTTCTTCCTTTTCTTCTCATCCTTCCTTTTTTTGTAAACCGACGAAAAAAAAAAAATTTTAAATAATAATAAATTAAAAGATACGAAATTAATTATTAATTAATTACTGCTGCGGTTATATGACGTCATAAAGTCATAGAATAATAAAACAAAAAAAAATTCGAAAAACGATGAGTTGTTTGTATTATGAAAGGAAAAATGTTTTATTTTTTTTTTTAAATATCATCTAATTCCACGTTTTTTTTAACGAATTTTTTTTTTTAATAACCGGAAATTTACGAATTCGTACGAATTTTGACGAAAATAAAAAAAATCAATAAATAAAAAATTTTAAATTTAAAAACGTGTAAATAAAAAATTTTAATTTTTAAAATAAATAAATTGCAATTTAAAAAAATTATTAATAATAATAATAATAATAATAATAATAATAATAAAATATAATTTTTGATAAAATATAAAAAGATGATTGAATAAGTTTTATAGTTTTACTCGAATTTTCCGTAAAAAAAAAAAAAAAAAAAAAAAAAAAAAAAAAAGTTTTAATGAAAAAGTTTAAAAAGAAGAAGAAGGAGGAGGAGGAGAAGAGGAGAGAAAAATTTTTTTTTTTTAATGTTTAATTTTAATACGAGATAAATTTTATAAAAATTTAACGTCAAATACATTATACAACACGGTGAAAAACAATTGATTTTAATGATGATGATAATAATAATGATGATGATGATGATGATAATAGTAATAATAATAAATTAATTTTATCGTTTGAGTTTTAATCATAAATTTTCTTTCTTTCCTTTTTCTTTTTTTTTTATTTTTTAATTTTTTTAATGGTTATATATTTGATAAAAAAAATAATAATAATAATATTAATAATAATAATAATAATAATAATAATAATAATAATAATAATAATAATAATAAAGAAAAAAAAGGAAAGAGAAAATATCTGAATTGTAAATAAATAAAAAAAAAATTAAAACTGAGTGACGTAAACAGTAAAAAGCAATTATTTACCTTTTTTTTTTGTTTTGTTTTTACTCTCTACAGTTGGTAACTTGAATAAAATAGAAAAAAAGAAAAAAAAAAGTTTCAAATATTTAAGTTGTTAAAATTTTTTATTTATTTATAAATCTTTTAAAAATATATATGTGTGTGTGTAAGTCCACTTTTTTTTTTTTATTAAAGTTTGATGAAATTTTTTTTTTCTTCTTCCACGTTTTTATTTTTATTTTTTCTTTTATTAATAATTTTCTCTCTTTCACTCTTCACTCTATCCTACAGTTTTTCCGTCTCACTCTGTCTCTCTCTCTCTCTCTCTCTCTGCCTCTCTTCCCTTCTCTTTTCTTCTCTCTTTCTCTCTCTCTCTCTTCCTTTCTGCTTTTTTTTCTTTCTCTCTCTTTTTCCTGCGGTTATTATTAATTTTATTTATTTATTTATTTCCAAACGTTAAAAATTATACCTTTTCCCTCCAGTTTTTTTTTTTTATCGTTTCCCAAAATTCAATCGTCACCGAATGGCGATGTAAAATATTAAATAATAATAATAATAATAATAATAATAATATCGTTTTACAGAGAGAAGCAATAATAAATGAAATAAAATTAATAATTATATTTTCATTTTATTAAAATTAATTGCTTTTGAAAATTTTATTATAAAATATTTTAAATATTAATATTAATAATAATAAAATGATAAATTTTTTTTTATCATTCATTTAATATATATATATATATATATATATATATATATATATATATATAAACATATAATAATAATAATAATAATAAGTTCAATGAATTCCTTCATTTAAGCAGACGACGATTTAAAAATAAATTAGTTTTAAAAAGGTACTTAAATGAACGTATACAAAATCGAAAGGATCGAGAATAGGCGGGAAAAGGGGGCGGCGGTTTAAAAAATAATGCGAGGGGCTTGAAAACCTGTAGCACACGCACACACCCACACAGAGAGAGAGTAAAAATAATCTCTTGTAATAAAGTTAATAAAAATAGTTTTAACAAAACGATTTATTATAAATTATATACGGTTGAATTAACACACAACAAAAAAAATCTGCAATTGCAACATGGAAGATATATTACGATTGTTTACAAAAAAAAAAAAAAAAACGTTTACTGACTGTTGCTGTTAGAACATCAAAACAAACGATTCGAAAATAAATATAATTATTATTATTTATTTTCAGGTATTGGGCAGTTACGAACATTGATTACATACATCAGAGAACTTCAAAAAGAATCGGATTAATGATATTAGTTATTTGGGGAGTCGCTTTTCTCGTTTGCATCGCTCCAATGTTGGGTTGGAAAGATCCTGAATGGGAAGATAGAATATTTAAAAATCAGGTAAGATACAAATTAAATAGATCAAACAAACAAACAATAAATAAAATTATCAAATTTGAATTTTTTTAAAAGAAAATTTCGATTGTTGTAACGGTTTTTAACGGTTTTTTGTGCGAGTGAAGTAGGAAAATTTCAAATTGTTTTTTGATTTTAAACCAGCTTTAGATTAAAGTATAAAAAAAGTTTTTGTTATTGTTGTTGTTGTTGTTGCGGTTGTGTTAAAAAGAAAACCCGACAAACGAAATAAGAAAAAGGGAAAAACAATTTTCGGTTTTAAATTGCGTGGAGAGAAATTAAAAAAAAAAAAAAGAATTTGCCCGGTATCGTTCTTTAAAACTATTTCAATTGGTTTTTAATTTTTTTTTTTAATAACAATAAAAGTCACGTAATAATAATAATAATTATTATTATTTTTTCAATTGTTTTGTTAATAATAATAATAGAGTCAAAAAGTTTTTAAAGAAAAAAAACACTTTAACCGCGACGTGTTTTTTTTTTATCCTATTCATACTGAAGTGTGTGTGTGTGTGTGTGTAAAATAAAATTATACGTTTATTTAACCCGTCAAACGCGTCTATTAATCAAAAAGTGTAACGAAAAAAACAGGAAAAACCGAATCGGGTCGATGAGAGAGATAGAGAGAGCGAGGGAGAAAGAGAGAGAGAGAGAGGAGAAAAAGAGCGTATAAAAAGTAAATGAATTTGGAAAAGTGTTTGTAATTCAGTCAGATTTATTAATATTGAAACTCGAAATGATATAAAAAATTGAAATATATACACACAAGCACACACGCACGTGCACACGTGCACTCACACACACACACGCCAATTCAGACTGATTAATACTATTAATATTATGCTAAGAAAAAATCAATCAAGTTGAAAAATCCAAATTTGGGGGAAAAAAAGAAAAGTTTTTCCTTTTGTTTTTGTATTGTACGTTTGTCGAAAAGAAACAAACAAACGACAAACAATGTTTACGGTTTTTATGAAAAAAAATTTGTTTTTTTTTTGCTGAGTTGGAAGGGGCGAGGAGGGAAATGATGACGTTACGGTTTGTCTTGTTAAAATTTATTAAAATAATAAGTAGAATTTTTTTCTTTTGGGAGGGGAGGGGGCGGAGGAGAAGAAAAACATTGATTACGTCGGACAAACAATTCTTAACCTTTTTGATTTTTTCACTTTAATTTTTTTTTTTTTTCACTAGCGTAAAACAAACGCTTAAAACAAAAAAATCTGTCAATCCTTTACTCTTTTTTTTTGTTTTTTCTTCTGCTTTTATTAATACTTTAAAAGCTTATTTAATACTTTTAATTAAATTAAATTTACATGAACGTTTTTTTTTTCTGTTTGTTGTTTGTTTTTTTTTTTTTTTGTTTGTTATTGAAATGTTTAATAATTTATACTACCCCATATTCAATGCAGAAAAATTTTTTTTTTTTCTAAAATTTGTGAAGAATTCAAATTTCGTAATATAAAATTAATTTCAAAAGGGGGTTTCGAAAATTCGAAAAAATTACGTTTCGAAAGAATTCATTTTACTAAATTGTCTATTGACACGTCATTGCCATCATTCATTTAATATAAATTATTAATAATAATATCGCTGGTGTTGTTTGTTATATTCCATATTTAGAATTAGAAAAAATTTTTTTTTTTTTTACGAATTTTCGTGATAACATCAAAAGGGAGGAAGAGGAGGGTAGAGGGGTAAAAAAAAAAGAGAAAATTTCTTTTTCTTTTGTTTTATCAAATAATTTATAAAAATTGATAAAAATTCAGACATTTTCACCTTCGTTAGTTAAACCAACATGAAATTCAATCAACTGAAATATTTACTTTTCACGAAAAAAAAAAAAAAATTTATTTTTCCCATTTTCTTTAAATAAATACATATATAATTTAAAGTATCAATTGAATTTTTTAACTAAAACTTTTGTCATTATCGACGACGACAACAACAACCAACAAACAAAAAAATTTTCTATTTTAGAAAACGGAAAATTTTTAATAATAATAACAACAACAATAATGATATAATTTATTATCAACCCCGATTCCGCAACGTAAACAATAACAAAAAAAATAATTATTATTATTTTATTACCAACCTTGAATTGATTAAATTATTATTATTAGAAAAAGTGCTCTTATCACAATTCAAAAATGATAACATTTTATTTATATTTATGTTTAAATAACTCTGACGGATTATTAATTTTTTTTTTTTTTTGAGCTACCCCCTCGATCATACAACATTCGAATTATTCAACCATTTCGAATTCTAAAACCACGATGACACGTTTCACGGTTGATTTTGTTTCTTACCTTTGAAATGTGTCGTCATTGAAACATAGAAAAAATTATTTATTGTTAAAATACCCGGAAACAAAAATTATTACAGGTAATTTTTCACTTTAGAAAAATAGTAAGAAATGTTTCCATATGGAAAATTTCCGTACAATGTTGTCAAGTTTGTTAGTTAGATTAGTTTTATACGTTAGAGTAAAATAAATTAATTTTTTTTTTTTTTTAAGTTAAAGGCGTGATTTAGTTGTTCTTCTTCTTTAACATTTTATAATTTCGTTTGAGTAATTTTAAAAGGTGGAAAAATAAAAAATGACTCTTTGTAAAAAATAAACTGTAAATTGCATTGTTTTAAATAATAATAAACTTACTTATTTGATCAAAAGTTCACCTTTTTCTTTTTTGTCAAAAATTTAAATTACAAATTAAATAAGAAATTAAAACTTTTACGCTTTTTGCGTAACGCACTACTACTATTCTAAAAACTATGATAGATAAATCACTTTTAATTTTTTTTTTTACAAATGAAATATGTTTAAATGATTGTGAGAAAATTGAAAATTTCCTGTAAAATTTTAATAATTATTTTTAAAAAACGCACACGCACGCACGTACGCACGTACGCACACACGCACAAACACACGCGTAAAAAATAATAATATCTACAAAATAATAATAATAGTTTTTTCCTTTTTTCTTTTTTCCCCACCTCGTTTATTATTACGTAACGATATAAAACATGGCGGAAAAATTTTATAAATTTTTTTATTCTTTCTATTACTAATAACAATAATAATAATAAGTAAAATATTTTCATAAAATTATGATATAAATCACGTGACGATGACAACAAAATAAAAATTAATCATTTAATTTATTAATTTGTTTATTGTTTAAACTTTATTTATTATTATTTATTAACAATCTTTTTTTTTTTAATTTCTATTCTTCGTAAAAAAAATGGCGGTTAAAACCGGAGGAAAATGTCGAATATTTTTTTTTTTGTCTGTGTGTTTTCCGTACACAAAAATTTTAAAATTATCGATCGATGAAATGTTTAAGACGACCTGAAAAATATTTTCTCCGTGACAAAATAAAATATAAAAAAAATTTTCACGTTTTATTGTTAATTTTAACCTTCTTCTATCTCTCTCTCTCTTTCTATCTTTTTCTCTTTTTTTTTTTTTAATCCTTTTATTTCAATTCTTCTCTCACACAGACACACTACTTAATCCGGACCATTGAATTTAACTTTTTGATTTATGTTACGTTGTGTACCTGAATCCCTTTTTTTTAATTTCAGACAGTGGATTAAAAAAAAAAAAAAATCTGAAATATTCAAATGTAATAATGAAAGAGACGATGATGACGAAAATGTGGCGGGGAAAAGGGAGGGGGAGGGGAGGGAAACGTTCGGAAATAAAAAAAAAAAAAAGTAAAACACACAAGCCGACAGAGAGAGGGAGAGAGAAGAAACGAAAAAAAGGATAAAAGAAAAACAAAAAAACTCGTATAAAAAGTAAAAATAATAATAATAATAATAACAATAACAACAACAGTTACAAAAACACACAACAAACGGCAACAACAAACAATAACAAAGTTAAAAAAAAAAAAAATGAAAATTTATGTTTTATACTCCTAAATACGAGTTTCACGAGAAATTCTACATCGACTATTCTCCACCACCATTATTATTATTATTATCATTATTATTATTTTTTTTATACCAGATTTCTAAGATGTAATTTATAGTCATCATAAATAATAAAGTTTATACTTAAAATAATAATAATAATAATAATAATAATAATAAAATATTTTTCGATCGTAACTTCTCACGCACACGATTCAACCATTTCACATATTTAATTAATTAAATTATTATTATTATATAGACTCTGTCGCTATATTAATATAGCACCCTTTTCGTTTCTCCCCTCCTCCTCCTCTTTTTTTTTAACCTCGACGCCTTATCATCATTCCTATCAATATAAATTAATAATAATAATAATCAAAAATAATAATTAATATAAATTTATAGTTTTGATTAAAACGCTATAAATTGTATACGCTATAATAAATATATATAAAACGCTATAATAATATGAATATTATTATTATTTTCGTGTTGTTAAGCGAGACTATATATATAAACTTATCACGAGTATTCGTATTTTAAAAAATTAATTTAGGAGGGGGGGTTCCCGAGGGAGAGAGGCGGGGAATCGGTAATAAGAAAAAAAAAATTTTTTTTTTAAAATAATAAAAAAAAGTTTTATTAAATTTTAGTTTTAAACGATGATAAGTTTTCTTCTCTCTTTCTCTCTCTCTCTCTCTTCCTCTTTCTCTCCCTCTCTCCCATTCCCTCTCTCTCTCCCTCTGTCTCTCAGTTTCTTTTTTTTTTTTTTTTAGGATTTTTTATTAATAAAAAAAATTTCAAGTTCAGTCCGATTATAAAAAAAGCAAAACAAAAAAAAATTATTATTTTTATTAAAATTTTGTAATAAGAATGAATGAATGAATGAATGAATGAATGAATGCACTTTTTTTCAAAATGGCGTCTCTCTCTCTCTTTTTTTTCGTTCAAAATTAAATTCGTCGATTTTTTTATTATTTTTCCTTTGAATTGTTTTTAACAACAAATAATTTTAATTACGTTCGTAACAAAGGAAATCATTTTTTAATAAAATT